TTCCAGCCACTGGTTCACTCCCCAAATGCCACAACGGCCAGAGCTGGGCCAATCCAAAGCCAGAAGCCAGGAGCTTCTTTTGGGTCTCCTACATGGGTGCAGGAGTTCAAGAAGTTGGGCCATTTTCTACTGCTTTCCCAGGCCACATCAGAGAGCTGGATTGGAAGAAGAGCAGCCAGGACACAAACTGGCACCCATATGAGATGCCAGTGCTGCAGGTGGAAACTTAGCCTGCTATGCCATAGCACTGGCTCTTCCCATCTCTTTAATTCCAAGCAATTTTGTATAATTGTGTTACAGTCATGGCATTTAACAAGGATATAAATGTTTTGAAGACATAATCCAACCCTTAGAATTCCAAAATTTGAACATTGCATGAATGATGATTCTAAGTTGTTAAAATAAATATAAGAAACATGCTATCAGGTTGTGAAGAACTGAAAGAGATCACATCCTTTTAGGCAATTTAGAAAAGACTGCAGGAGTATTGAAAGGTGTTTATGGTTTCATCATGAAAAGATAACAGCTTGAGCAAAGATATCCTAGGGACATCAGGGATATTTTGAGGGAGCAAGGGATAGTCTGATTGCTTTCAGGTCCTAATAAGTAGTGTCAGTAGGTAATCATAAGAAAGGAGACCAAAATATTTGGGGGAGTGGCTAGAATAATATATATATATATATATATCTGATTGGACAACAATAAGAAAACTTTTAAGACAGGATAACAGAGTTTATTATTGTATTATCATGTCTTTCCATTATTTTGCTGCCCAGTTTCAAAGTCTGGAATACTTAAATTATAACATCCTCCAAAATTCATGAATAAGGTCTAGCAAATTCCTTTACTCAAAATACAGATAGTTAGTTTATTTTTTATTATTTAAAGATTTCAGTGACAAGTGTTTTTATGCTTTGCATTCTTTGGGCATGAAAATAAATATAGACATTTTTATGTGTCTTTATTCTTGCTCAGTCTCATTATAAGTCATAAGACATGTCTGAACAATAAATCACATTCTCTTGCCTACTGTAAACATAGAAAGAAATTCAAGTGTTCCAGTTCAATTCACTTGAAAGAAAGTTGGGAAATTTCTGTGTGACTTTTTTTAAAGTAGAGTTGCAAAGAAGAAGAGATTGTGTTCTGTGTTATATATTAGAACACTCTCAGAAGAGAAAAACGCACTGTTTTATAGAAGCAATTGAGAATTTCATGAGGGGTCTCATAAAGAAAATTGAGCTGGTATACTAAATAGCTATGGGAAAAATGGATCATTCATAAACGACTGCTTTGTAGAAACACATACAACATTTGTTAATCTGCATTTGCCGAAGCATTATCCATGTAACAATATTGTCTTCATTTATCTGCACTCTCTCTTTCCCATGATTCTACTGAAAAAAATAAATCTATTTCCTTCTGGCTGTCTTCCCTTGATAATACCACCGAAGATTAACAATTGTGTTAGTCTTTTCTAACCACTAACATTTGACTTTTTTGATCCTCTCAGCAATGTATATGCTTTTATTTCATCAGTTTCTATATTCTTCACTCCCCAACTACCCACCACATGTTGGGCCAGGATGAAGCCAGAAGACTGGAACTCCATTAAGGTCTCCCTTTAAGGTGGTATTTTTTTTTTTTTTAAGATTTGTATTTATTTATTTGAAAGGCAGAGTTACAGACACAGAGTGGGAGAGATAGAAATGTTCCATCCACTCATTCACTCCCCAAATGGCCGCAATGGCCGGGACTGGGCCAGCCTGAAGCCAGGAGCCAGGAGTTTTTTCTAGGTCTCCCTTGTGGGTGCAGCGGCTGAAGCACCTGGGCCATTTTCCGTTGCTTTCCCAAGTCATAGGCATAGAGCTGAATCAGAAGAGGAGTATCCAGGACACAAATCAGCGCCCATATGGGATGCTGGCACTGCAGGTGGAGGCTTAGCCTACTATGCAACAGTGCTGGCCCCAAGTTTCAGTTTTTTTATTACTGTTTGTATGAAAATACTATGTCCCACTTAGATGGCATTATATGACAGCATCCTAATTAACTCTCATTCCTATTATATAAATGCCTGTTTCAATGACATTGTATACCTAAAGGAGGTCAAAATGAAGCTCACATCATTTCATACATTTCTACAAAACTAGATAAAATTAAGCTATATTTCTGCTCTATTCCTTTCAGTTAAACATTTGACTCTATATCAATGAGTAACAATGAATTATAAATCTCATCAGATTAAAACGTTCAGAAGTAGAATGCCAATGTAGAGCACACTACCTCTCTGAGCAGTCATTTCTGCCAGACTTTCTATAAAGGTGACTGTAATCAGCCTGCCTGATTCAAGGAGCAGGACAGAAGCTGGCCTGGGATTCTCTGAAAGGATAGTCACAAGTTCGCAAAATTTAGTAGGCTGCACAAAGGTTTCCATAATCCTTGGTGCTGTAATTTCTCTATCAGGTAAGCCCGCAATCATTTCCTAAAAGTGATGAGGTGAAGAAAACCCTCAGTGATAGGAGTATCAGATAATTCCAGTACCACTCTGTGTTGAAAACATGAATAAGTAGACATTCCAGGTAAACTATGTAAAGCCATAGAAATCCTCCTTCTTATCAGTTTAGCCTTATTTTTAAAAACTAATTTCTCTGTGACAAAATGGTCAGATAAAGAAAAAAATCTTAGCTATAGCAAGCATGGTAAGATTAATAAATGTCAATTCATTCCAATTGTCACTAATGCTAACAGTAGTGTCTGTAGCTTTATTATAATATTTCCTAAACTTCTTCTAGGAAATATTAATAGCATAAAAAGGTGAGAGTAATATTTTCTTTTTCCATTTAATTTTAATAGTATCTTAATAAATATCAAACATTTTATTTTATTATTTTTAAGATTTATTTATTTATTTGAAAGGCAGAGTTACAGAGAGGCAGAAGCAGAGAGAGATGGAGAGTGAGAGAGAGGTCTTCCATCTGCTGGTTCACTCACCAAATAGCTGCAATGGCCAGAGCTGAGCTGATCTGAAGCTAGAAGCCAGGAGCTTCTTCTGGGTCTCCCACATCAGTGCACAAGCCCAAGGACTTTGAGCTATCTTCTGCTGCTTTCCCAGGCCATACCAGAGAGCTATACAGGAAGTGGAGCAACCAGGACTCGAACCGGCGCCTATACAGATGCCAGCACTGCAGGCAGAGGCTTTACCGGCTACACCATACCATCAATCTTTCAAACATATTTTATTAAGAAAAATCCTATCTTTCATGTTTATTTTGAGTAAATAAGCGATACAAAAATAAATTATGCATCTAAGACCTTGCATTTTGCTGCAGCAGGCATCCCATATGAGCACTGGTTTGAGTCCTGGCTGTTCCACTTCCAATCAAGCTCCTTGAGAATGTGCCTAAGAAAGCAGCAGAACATGGTCCAAGTACTTGGCCCCCCTGGTACCCGCGTGGGAGATCCAGATAGAGCTCCAGGCTCCTGGCTTTGACATGGCCCAGCCCTGGCTGTTGCAGCCATATGTGAGGTAAAACAGCAGATGGATGATCCTTCTGTTTCTTTGTAACTCTGCTTTTCAAATAAATTAAATAACTCCTTTAAAAAGGAAGAATCTGTGCCTAAGAAGAGAAAATTTAGTTTATTTTAAAAAAAAAGAAAATTGAGGCCCTGAAACTGTGATTGAATGAAATAAGGCAAAATCAGATTTTTGCAAAGTAAACAACCACAATCATTGTTTCAGAAAATGGTAGGGGGAAGACAGGAATCTTTCCAAGCAGTAAGCATTAATGATAACTGCAATAGCTTTATTCATAATTTACTGTGTATTTCATTTGCTTCTCTTTATTACAATGGATATGTATAAAATAGAATTTTCATTATTAAGTGTAACCAAAAAACTAATAAGTTTATTATATTATAAACTTGTATTTATTCTCTAAATCTTTAAACATGGTTCTTTGTTGCTGTTGTTTTCAACCAGTACATAATAACCCTTCATATAATCTGGTATATTACAAAAACAGCTCTAATACATTGTGAGACATTTAGATATAGGACAGAAAGTGGGAAATTAAAAACCATGTGCTCTGGAATCTGGCAGCCATGTCTTACTTCTTCCGCCTACTAGCTGTGTGAACTTTGGCAAATTTATTAATTTATATAAGAACTATTATCCTTTGGAGGAACACAAAGGTACTATAATTAATAGCATTGCTATAGACTCTCAGGATCAAAAGAACATGAGGATAGCTACTCCAATTTTTTATAATAATCTATCCACACTCAAGCATAAAGTTCACTGATTGGCACTGTCAAGTATCTTTCAAATTGGAAGAGGTATAAAGAGGAGAGAATATGCAAGTAAACAAGCAATGAGTGTCAGATACGTTATTATCCAGCTTTCATAGAAATTATATGAAGTAGATTTAATTATCTTCTGAGGCTCAGGGATGTGAGATGACCTGACAAAAATCATAAAAAAAAAAAAAGAGAGAAACTGGATACACAAATGGGCAATGGCCAGACCATAACTAAAAATCAAACTCTGACCCACAACCTGAAACACCTGTCCAGGAAAGGAATCCCACCATCTACAGTTAAATAGACAGGGAAGCCAACCTGCTGAAGTAAGCCACATTGCTACCTCCAATAACAATCGAAGGAACTAAACCATACTCTATATAACAATCACCCCAAAAATAGCCAAGACTGAAGTTGTCCAGTTTTTGCTACCAGTTCCAACTTAGGAAAAATCAGAAAAAGCTAAGTTTCCCCCCTCCCCCAATCAATCATATAGGATGCCTGGCTTCTAATTAGAATATGTAAAACTTACTTGTGACCTTACCTGTAGGCATAGCTATAATATTCCATTTCTCCCATTTTATTTTTTTTAACTTTTATTTAATGAATATAAATTTCCAGAGTACAGCTTATGGATTACAATGGCTTCCCCCCCATAACGTCCCTCCCACCCGCAACCCTCCCCTTCCCTACTCCCTCTCCCCTTCCATTCACATCAAGATTCATTTTCGATCTCTTTATATACAGAAGATCAGTTTAGCATACATTAAGTAAAGATTTAACAGTTTGCTCCCACACAGAAACATAAAGTGAAAAATACTGTTTGAGTACTAGTTATAGCATTAAATCACAATGTACAGCACACTAAGGACAGAGATCCTACATGAGGAGTTAAGTGCACAGTGACTCCTGTTGTTGGCTTAACAAATTGACACTCTTGTTTATGGCCTCAGTAATCACCCTAGGCTCTTGTCATGAGCTGCCAAGGCTATGGAAGCCCCCTGAGTTCACTGACTCTGATCATATTTAGACGAGGCCATGGTCAAAGTGGAAGTTCTCTCCTCCCTTCAGAGAAAGGTACCTCCTTCTTTGATGACCCGTTCTTTCCACTGGGATCTCGCTCGCGGAGATCTTTCATTTAGGGTTTTTTGTTTTTGTTTTTGTTTTTTGTTTTTGGTTTTTGGTTTTTGGTTTTTTTTTTGTTTGTTTGTTTGTTTGTTTGTTTTTTGCCAGAGTGTCTTGGCTTTCCATTCCTGAAATACTCTCATGGGCTTTTGAGCCGGATCCGCATTTCTTCCATTTTAAAGATTTCCCATTCTCTATTTGCCTTGAGTCTCTGCACTCTGTTTCTGACTCACTTGCTATAATAATTTTGAGTAAACAGCTTTGCATTTCTTTTTGTGGTCTTCATTTATTTGCACAAAGGCAGGTAAAAATAGGATTTAAGAAATTGAGTGAAAGTACACATATAAAAATATGCATTTTGGCCAGCGCCGCAGCTCAATAGGCTAATCCTCTGCCTATGGCTCCAGCACCCTGGGTTCTAGTCACGGTCGGGGTGCCAGAGTCTGTCCTGGTTGCTCCTCTTCCAGTCCAGCTCTCTGCTGTGGCCCAGGAGTGCAGTGGAGGATGAACCAAGTCCTTGGGCTCTGTGCCCACATGGGAGACCTGGAGAAGCACCTGGCTCCTTGCTTCAGATCAGCGCGGTGTGCCGGCCACAGCACACTGGCCGCAGCCGCCATTGCAGGGTGAACCAATGGAAAAGGAAGACCTTCCTCTCTCTCTCTCTCTCTCTCTCTCTCACTGTCCACTCTGCATGTCAAAAAAATATGCATTTTGATGTGGTTTGCAATAGATAGATACCTTTCAATAAGAGGCAGATAAACTAAATCACGGTGTATTCACATTATAAAGAACATAATAACAAAAAATGAACAAACTATACCATACATAAAAATATGTATAAATATGACAAAAATCATGTTTAATAAAATAAGAAACACAAAAGAATGAATACAGTCATAATCAACTTTACAAAGTTTGATAACTGCTACAACAACAACAACAACAAAAACTAAATGATATGTAAAGGTAAAATTAGCCCATTAGTCACATAGGGATTAACCTTCAGCAAGTAAATATTTGTGATCACTAGAAGGCAGCATACAAGCACTTATCTTATGCCAGCATCTGGTGTTTATCAAAATGGTTGAATGTTGCATGGGTCTTTCTTGAGTTTCATTCAAGACTCTTTCCATAACACACTTCTTTCCTAGGATAAATAGCACAATTATTTCTTGAACTTAAGGTTTAACTACAAAAGACATGGGATATTTCCAACATCTATGACATGAGTTCTTGCTTTATACTGAAAAAAAAAAAATTCTCTCCGAGAAAATTTAGATTTGCCCCTAAATTTCTTCCTCCAGCCAAGAGTTTATATCTCCTAAAACTACATCAGACTTTGGTGCCCCTCAAGTCTTGGAAAAGGATTGCTTAGCACTCTTGCCCTAGAACACACCTCAACAACTCTGAGAATTCTATCCCAGAAATGCAGCCAGGATGGAGTAAGGAGTCACTTCTCAGACTGTCCAAGCTTTTCTTCCAAGTGATGTGGTTCCAGACATGCTACCTCAAAATATGGCAACTTGGAACTTAGGAAGACAACTGAAACAGGAAGATCTTGCTTACCTTCTCCTGCCCTTCTCCAAAACAGGCAATGGAATAATTGACTTTCTTCTAATGTCACATGACCTTCGTTATATAGGAACCCTTCTATACCCAGAGGAAAGGAACGCCCTTTCTCTGACAATGTGAACACAAGGAAGAATTCGAGCACACAGACCTTATCGAAATCCTCCCCTGCCCAACTTTTTGCCTTTAGGTTACACTCCCTTTGTCCAATCATATTTCAGCATGGCTTTCTACTCCTTGTCAAACTTAAGCCTACAAATGCACATATTTACCAATTTTGAGGCATCCTCATTTTTTAAGGCCCCCATGTCACACAAAATTTATTTGAGAGAAGTTCATGTGCTTTTCTCATATTTGTCTGCTTCTGTGACTGGAGCCTTGGTCATGAACCTAGCAGTAAATGGAGAAAATTCCTTTTCCCTCTTACTATCTGGCTTGCTTTTTAATCCATCTATTAGAACTAAAAAATAATAAACCTGGAATTATAACACAGAGTCTAGCTTCAGTCATGGTGAATTTTTTTTCTCTCATCCATGGTTCTCTCCTCCCAACTCTGTTGCCTGAACACTAGAGATATTTGCTCTTGAACGCTTAAAATCAGAATGGGCTGGGTTAAATAGACTTGCCTTCTCCTTATTCGGGCTGCCTTTCCAAGGCTGTCTGCCAAAACTCCAGGCAGCTGTGTAAAATCAAGTGTTTGGAAATGAGTAGACATATAAATTAGGTGTGTGGTGCTATTGTTTGAATGAAAATTTATAGGTTTCTCTTTTGAGTTTCACATTCTTCAGTAGTGTGAATAATAGCATGCTGTGTCTAAGGTTATAATTTTATTGAAGAACACAAGTACACTCATCTAACACTGAAAAACATTATTATGCTTTTGCATTGTACAAATCTCCTCTGTTATTTAGGAAACTATTACACTTAGTAATATTCCCTGATTCTTCTGATTTACTGAAGTGTGCCATTTTCCTGATGTATGGGACAGTTTGTCACTTTCTGTTGACACAACACTAATTCTTTGCAGTCTTTCAAGTCTCAATTCTACTCTGCTTAGCACAAAACTGAATGCAAAGTTAAATAAAGTGTAAAACATACATTTCACTTTGTAACACCAGTCCACATCCAGTGATGTTAGACTGTTCAAGAGGGATTCAGAGTTCTTGTTTCAGCTTCAACAATATTAAGAGCTTGGAAATCAACACACCTATTTTTACAATGAGAAAGCATTGAGCAAATTGAAAATCAATGTCTTTTCTTGGACCCATCAGAGAAGTGCAATTACAGGGTAAAGTGTCACCGTGGAGAGAGAAATTCAGAGGGACAAAGCCAAGATCTGCTTACTTGGAGCTAAAGTTATTAGAGCCATAAACTGACAAGAACATTTAAATGGGGATTTTGATGGATTGATGGAGGCTATGTATAGACAAGAATGAAAATGAGAAAATCTTGAAGAATGCTTCTAGTAGTATCCTTGGCTTTTCTGTGTTTTTCTCACCAGCTTCTTACACTGAAGAATCTCTCATTGCACTGGCAGAGGGACGGACAGTCTCAGTGTGAAACACACAAGCATCCTTCCTAACAATGGCCTGCTCTCCGTGGACAAAATAATTTAAGATAGGCTTATTCCATTTGCAGGAAGGACATTTCTCCAAATCCAGAGCCATCTACCTTTCCTCTGTCAATTGAAGGTTGGGGGTTATTTAATGGAAGAAATTCTTACAAAGCCACCCATGTGGGTGCTGGTTCCTGTCCCAGCTGCTCCACTTGCAAAACAGCTCCCTGCTATTGGCCTGGGAAAAGCAGCGGAAGATGGCTCAAGTGTTTGGGCTCCTGCCTTCCATGTGGGAGAGCTGGATCTGGATGAAACTCCTGGATCCTGTCTTCAGCCTGACTCAGCCCTGGCAGGTGCAGCCACCTGGGAAATGAACCGGTGGGTGAAAGATCTCTCTGTCTGTAACTCTGACTTTCAAATAAATATTTTTTAAAAAAATAATACACAATGCTTCCCATCTTCCACACTTTCTACCATATTAATAGCCATCTGTATAATAACCTCAGAATGCAGCTGAAAGTGCTGGAAGACAGACTTTCTCCAAAGGAAATTACTTAGGAAAGCCCCAAGTCTAGAAAGGGGACAAAAACAATGACACTACAACCATTGAAAGCCACCAGTACCCACAAAAATAGTCAGATTAAAAGAACCCAACTCCTAGACAGATTAGCATGAATCTTTACACGAAAGTCCTACTTACCGCAATTCCTACTGCCTGTCATGTTATATTCAACTTTAAACAAAAGTTAGAAGACCTGCTGAAAGACAAAAAAACAAAAATACAAAAGCTAAAGAGATAAAGCAAGTATCGGAATCAGACTTAGTTTTGACAAAGGTGTTGGAATTTTCAGGCAGGGAACATAAAGTAACAAGTATTAATGATGTGTTAGGGCTAAAATGAAAACAGCAAACAACACACAATAATAGATGCATGGTAATGTAAGAAGATATTTGGAAAATCTAAGAATTAAATGCAAATACTGGAAATGTAAAATGCAAAAACAGAAATAAGAAATACATGGTGTTTATCGGAAGGCTGCATGTGACTGAGGAAAGAAAGAGTAAATTTGAAAATAGACCAATGGGTCCGGTGCCATGGCTCACTAGGCTAATCCTCCACCTAGCAGCGCTGGCACACCGGGTTCTAGTCCCAGTGGGGGCGCTGGATTCTTTCCCAGTTGTCCCTCTTCCAGACCAGCTCTCTGCTGTGGCCTGGGAAGGCAGTGGAGGATGGCCCAAGTGCTTGGGCCAAGCACCCTATGGGAGACCAGGAGAAGAACCTGGCTCCTGTCTTCAGATCAGCGTGGTGCACCGGCCGCAGCGCACCAGCCGTGGCAGCCATTGGAGGGTGAACCAACGGTAAAAGGAAAACCTTTCTCTCTGTCTCTCTCTCTCGCTATCCACTCTGCCTGTCAAAAAAAAAAAAGACCAATGGAAACTTCTCTGATTGATAGACTAAAAATAATAACACAACAATGATAACAACCCCAGAACACCCAAGAACTATAGGCTCATTTCAAAAGCTATAACATAGGCATTGTTGTAACATAAGAAATGAAAAATGAACATTAAAAATACAAAAAGTTATTTTGTATGGATAGTGTGAGTAGTGTAACCTGGAAAGTGTATCAAGATCTACTTTGTGGACACAGAGATAGCCACGTAGATACTGCCATACTGAAACAGAAACAAAATTTAGCAGATTAGAAATGTGATAAAGAGACTTGACAAAATTTCCCCCATTGCAATACATTCCAGCTGCTGAGTGGCTTATAGGGACTTCCTATCATAAGAGCCAGAACCCATAATCATTTATAAAGGTCACCCCATCCACATTCGAGGCACAGGCTTACAGCTCTCTGTCACCACTCTATGATTTGTATCATTCTCCTCTGTTCCCATTGGCATTTCCCATTAACATTTTCCAAAGGCACATCTGGGATTAGAAATCAATGACGATATAGCAGCAAACACTTTTTCTGCTCTTATCTTAAGCACTTTTGATCTTCTATGGTTGATAATACAATCTTAAATCATACGGTACAGACGAAAGCAAGCTTGAGTCTTCACAATATATTGCATCCTACATAAATTTTTCCTGTATCCAAATCCTCAGCCTAGCTTTCAAGGCCTACCAGGCCAAATATTTTTAACTTCATCTTTTAACTTAAATATAATTTTAACACAGTTGCTGAGAGCAAATTTTAGGGAGACATGATTGACAATATAGTAATCAAGAAAACAGAAGTAATTCATCTGAGAATGATGAGGTTCTGAATCAACATGGTAATTGTGTCCTGTAGAGGAAGAACAGATTAAAGAGAATGACAACACAGGTCCAATATGAAGGTTGGGGATAGACAGAGAAAGAAAGTTATAAATTTGCGCCTGTACCCTGGGTTCTAGTCCTGATTGGGGTGCCGGTTCTGTCCCGGTCACTACTCTTCCTGTCCAGCTCTCTGCTGTGGCCCAAGAGTACAGTGGAGGATGGCCCAAGTCCTTGGGCCCTGCACCCACATGGGAGACCAGGAGAAGCACCTGGCTCCTGGCTTCGGATCAGCGTGGTGCGCAGGCCACAGCACGCCGGCCACAGTGGCCACTGTGGGGGGTGAACCAAGGGAAAAAGGAAGACCTTCCTCTCTGTCTCTCTCTCTCACTGTCCACTCTGCCTGTCAAAAAAAAAAAAAAAAAAGGAAGAAAGTTATAAATTTGAAGACAATGCAAACTGAATATATTCCCTACTGTGGGCACTGAATATATTCCCTAATAAGGACACATTATGGTTTCTATTTTAGGAGGCAAAACTAAAAAAAAAAAATGAGTAGAATAATAATCAATAAACTTAATGGGAATAAAATCTTTATTTTATGCATATTTTAATTATTATTTATTTGATAAGGTACATACACAGAGATAGAGTCTGAGACACAGAAAGACAGAGTTCCCACCCACTGGCTAGCTCCCCAAATATGCACAATGGCCAAAGCTGAACCAGGGCGCATGTGAGGAGTCCAGATATCAGTTCTTACATAGGTATCAATCTCTTACAGAGGTGGTAGAACTCTAACATCTTGAGGCATCACTACTGCCTCCCAAGGTCTCTATTAGCATGAAGCTGTAGTGATGAGCCAGCACCAAATATTCAATCCACGCACTTCAAAATAGGACATGGGCATCTTAACCCTTAGACCAAGCACCTACCCCCAAATCTATATTTTAAAGAGTGAGAGGAAAGAATGAGCAAGGTGAGGGAAGTGGGTTATGTAAAATTGTAGGTGCTTGACACATTCAAACATGATCACACAGAGTAGAAGGATCCAATGACGAGTCTTAGATAATATAATAGGGAAATATGAAATATGAGTGGGAAGGAGAGAGGTCAGAGGTAGAGACAAAAAGCCTTTGCAGGATTTCAGTGATGGAAGGATGAGAACTAGAATCAGGCAGTGACAACAGGGAAGCTAGAGAAGGCTCTGCACTGACCAACTGCATATAACATACAGCTCTACACCTCAGTTTCTAACCTATAATGCAGGAAAAGTAATCCTATTTTCACATGGCTATCTAAAAGCACAAAGTTGTAATATGGTCTAAAGATTATGAACATGCAATCTGAAAGCAAACTTTGTTCATTCATTCCTCAGCTCTTCCACCTACCAGTTGAATATTCTTGGGCTTCAGTTTACCCACTATAGAATAAAATTTGCAGCAATACCTACTTCATAGTCCTTTAGGGGGGCTTAAAGAACACCTTTTCATAAATAATTCTGTTCAATTTATTGAAATGCTATGAAAGAATTTGCTATAACTGCATATATGGAGCTCCTTGCTCAGTATTCAACTTACATGTACTGAGCAAATAAGTAAATATATAACACAGCTTATATTTAAAAAAAGATAGTAATTGGGGAGAGTATAATACTTAAGTAAAAACTAAAGACCAGCAGTGCAATGCTATTGAAGACTTAACTTCTCCCCCTACATCTTCCTTGCCCTGCAGTTGCCCAATCTCTGCTGGAAGAATTCCAACAGCAAAGAGCTCAGAAAGGGCGCTTCAAGGGCTGTATCAGGACACCAGCAGAAAACATGACTTCTGGTTCAAATTCTCTCTGGTTTCTATCACTTAACCATCAGTCATTTTCCAGCAACTTTTAGTAAGATTCACAATACTAAGGCAAAGAGTTAAAGGGGCCTACCTACTCCACCACATGTGACCACTGTAGTATTTTCTTTAGTAGATAGTTCTTTTGGATCTAGTTTTTCTATTTTCTTGTGTAGATGCCATGGACAGTGATTTTGATCCTTTACCTCCCACCAGAAGCTTATGAAAAGTATAGATTCCCATGTCTTGTCTATGTAAACAACGTCTCACTGTCCTGCTTTGATATACTTTATGTAAAAAGGCCACAACTTGAAATAATACTTATTGAATATACACAAAATATCAGACACTGTGTTAAAGAAATGCAAAAAGTGGATAAAATATCAGTATTTCTTTCCAGGAGCTCAAATCCAGTTAGAAAGACAATAATTTAAAGCAGAACATGAAACAATTTTTATTAGTAATAGGTTCTAGAATTTGCATTCTGATACTCTAGGTCTTCTCTTTGTCTATTACAACAATGGCCATGCAAATCCTGAACTAGGAAAGGACTTCCTTAGAATTTCAATATTGGAAACTGAATTTTAAATATGAATATTATTTTTAATATGGAGCGTTAGAAATTGAACACAAAAGTAATAGAAAATGTACAGTGTAAGAACATTAGACAAATTATGGATTTTGTTTGATGGAAAATTTCAAACTAAATGTAAAAATTTTGTTTGATTCCTGAACATTTTATTTTAATTATGTTAGCCATATAAGTTAACTCAAGAAAAAAAAATGAATACCAGACAAATGGAGACACGTTCTAAATGTGTAAAGGTTGAGGAATGCAAGAGCAAAAGAGGCAAGAGTTAATGATGGAACATCTTAGAAAAGATATCTTATATGCATTTGGAAAATTGATATTAAAGTACATGTCAGGACCAGACATGGGTATTGTGAAGGCACTTCTTGAGCAGTGATGTGGTTAAAATATGAAAGGTATATTAGATCGCTCAAGGGGGAATTGTTTAGAGGGAAAGTTGTGAGTCCAAGGCAAAGTTATAGAAAATAATCAAAACAGGAGTCACTGTGCACTTACTCTTCATGTAGGATCTCTGTCCTTAATGTGCTGTACAGTGTGATTTAATGCTATAACTAGTACTCAAACAGTATTTTTCACTTTGTGTTTCTATGTGGGTGCAAACTGTTGAAATCTTTACTTAATATATGCTAAACTGATCTTCTGTATATAAAGAGAATTGAAAATGAATCTTGATGTGAATGGAAGGGGGGAGGGAGAGGGAAAGGGGAGGGTTGCGGGTGGGAGGGATGTTATGGGGGGGAGCCATTGTAATCCATAAGCTGTACTTTGGAAATTTATATTCATTAAATAAAAGTTAAAAAAAAATAAAAAAAGAAAAGAATCATGGCTTTTTGAGAAGAGAAACCTACAAAGTAGTTCTAAGAAAATCAACCCATAAAGTAAAATCATACTAAGAGAGAATAGTCTCAGAGAACATAAAGGATAAGGGTATCAGATACACAAAAAACAGTAAGTAAGTTCTAATCATCTGGTGGATCAAAGAAATTATAAATTGAGAAGTGGCTGAATAAGATCCCTAATGAAATGTAGAAGTAGTTTGAAAAAAGCATAGATTCAGAAACCAGAATTTCACATGCTAACTTGAGGGCTGAGGCTTGCCTTTCTTACTAGAAAGTGCTGCTGTCTATCTCTTGGGTAGGACAAGTGTGAGGATGATCAGTGTCCTTGACTTGCTGCCAGCATGTGATGACTCCTCTTTGGCTCAAGGGATAAGCTTAGACTTTTATAGAGCTTGATGCTACTCTGAGCTCTGCCTACCAAATTTCATGGTCCTTTTATTTTTAAAGAGTCCTGACTATTGTGCCAAGATTTAATGAGTATTTTTTCTCTAGAAGTTTCCAAGAGTACACAGATTTTCTACCATCAACTGGCAGTATTTTCTAGACCTGGGATACTTCTTAGTCTATGTTGTACTCAACCATAGCCCTGTGATGATCTCTATTAGACCCAATGACATCAAGTGTCAACAAAATTAAATAAGGCACAATCTCTGTTGTGGAAAAGATCCACAACAAATATCAGATGAGGTGTACAGATACATTTTAAGTATTCAGAAAACACAGAAAGAGGAACCTAACTGCCTAAAGATTTGTATATGGAAATGACATATTTCTGAGATTCTCAAAGTTCTAGGCCTCTTCTCCTTCTTCCTTCCCCTTTCTTATCCACATCATGCTTAAATCATTTGTGGGTAGCAAGTGTTTTTCCTGTACAGGAAGAAAGACACAGCTTTTGGATTATGTTCCCAATTCTCTTGACTCACCAGTTAAAACCCCATCTGACTTGTGTGCTATAGGTATTTATTGCTCAACAAACCAGGTGTGATAGCTCTGGGAGATCCAAATCCCATAGCTACGTTGAAAGCTAGAATTTTCATTTAACAAACAATGTACTCCATAATTTTGGATTTTTTGTTACTTGATTGAACTGTTACCTGAAAAATATAAGTTTTTAAAAGTATATATTTACTTTAAATTTATTTCTAGAAGAAAACCAGGTTAATTGAAACCTTTGGAAAAATTTTCAATTCTCCATTTTCTTGAATTTCTCATTACATGGTATTTCTTAGAATCTTCCAATATTTTCAAAAAACTGTACCTTTAAAATGATTTCATCTGGGCCTCCTCTGTGGTTCTGGAATCAGTCTTCCTCATTCTTGTGGACAGCCAGCCTTCTAGTTTCACAACACAGGGTGGCATGTGACTACACTTATGACCAGTCCACAGCACTGGGATTTCTTTGTGAAATGGCTTGTTAGTTCTTTTGCATGTTATCTTTTCTGGCATTCAGAACAGAGCTTCATCAGAACAATCTTGCTATCTGTAGAATGTTGCACAATTTTCAGATTGCCTTTACTTGCATTTCCTCATTCAAATCCTACAATCTTGTAAAGAAGTCAGAATTGGTATTGTCGTTGAGTCCCCAGGCAAGCCACCCAGGTGGCTGAATTATATTCATTCCCTCATAGCACTGTCACTTGAGTCATTTGTTAACATTCCCAGAAGGCTGTCTCAAAAAGGTGAAAGACACTCAATCTATGAAATAAAGATTTTCGGAGGAATTATTATGCTTCCATGTTCAACTTAAGTTGCTGTTCTTCAATTTGGTTGTGTGGAGTTGACTGGAAACAAGTAATACAAGTTCATTATATACCATGGTGCTTTGTTGTTGCTGTGAGGAAAATAATATTCTTAATTTTTTCACTCAGTAATAAATTTGGAACCTTCAAGATGTCAAAGCATTTAAGAGTTGCCAGATTTTAGGCATAGAGTCATATCAGATAATAGCCAAGATTGATTTTATGCCTATTCTGTGGCAGTCACCAGGCCTAGTTCTTTGTACATTTTATATCCCTTAAACTTCATAGCACCACTTCAAGTCATCACTATTCACATTTTATAGTTGAAAAAATTGAGGTTTAACAGGCTAAACAGCTCATCCAATAGTAATAGCAGAGAATATCCATCTCTAGGATTTAAACCTAGACATCTCTGACTAGAAATTCTGGGCTTTTAGATCCTATTAGTACTCCCTTCAGTATGTACAGGCCTCTTTAATTAGATTGATCTGGAGTGTGCACCAATCAACTCAATGCTCAGATATTTATCCAAAGCTACAGAATCAGAATCCCTGGAGGCATGGTACAGGCATCTTAATTCAGAATAAATTTTCACCTGAGGCACTAAGGTTTGACAAAAATACACTCTGCCACACTTTCTTTCAAAAGTCTTTTATAGGAATTGAGTAGTATTACATACTACTGGTGCTCCCCCATGGTAATGATTGCAACCAGCATTTACTGGGGCTTACATCCACAAACGGGGTTATATATATATATATATAGACAAAGAACAGGATGGCTTGGACCAAGTTCTGGGCAGAATTAGGAATGTATTTTACTTATTATTTAATGTTTATAGATAGTGACAAAAAGTGGTTTTAAAATCTCAGAACTTCATGTGTAAAAGGCTGTACAGATTTCTAAATAACTTTTTCCTTGTTTCATAGTCTCTGTGGCTGTTATTACTACCCTGCTTGGCTATTCTTACTAATATACTTTCTTCAAATATAGCATAAATCTCCCTGAGCCAGAGTAGTGATTACTGAGTAGACAGGTACCAGGATGAAAATTATCACTTTGATCTATGAGGAAAAATGTGCAACAAAGAGAACATAAATTCTCAAAAACTCCTCTGAAATGAACAAAAGGATTTGTCTATGGGAAGAGTCATAGGCAGCTCCAGTGTCTTCAGGATTTTTTTTAAGGTTCATTTATTTGCTTGTGAGGCAGAGTTTCAGACAGAGAGAGGCAGAGAATCTTCCATCTGCTGGTTCACTCCCAAAATGGCCGCAACGGCCAGGGTTGGCTGAAGCCAGGAACCGAGAGCTTCATCCAGGTCACCCAAATGGGTGCAAGTGCTCAAGTACTTGGGCCATCTTCTGCTGCTTTGCCAGGGAGCTGGATCAGAAATGAAACAGCCAGAACTCGATCCTGTGCCCACTTGGGATGCCGGCACCACAGGCAGAGGCTTACCTACCACATCACAGTGCTGACCCCATCTTCAGGATTTTAAAATGAGCCCAATATCAGATCTGAGGAATCATCCTCCTTAAATATCATCTAAGTCTACACATTCATTCATTTTCCTACCGGTGTTTACAGGTCCTGCCTCTCAAGCTAATCTGCCATACTCCTTTTTATTTTTTTAAGATACATTTTATTTATTTGAAATGTGCAATCACAGAGAGAGAGAGAGAGAGAGAGAGAGAGAGAGAGAGAGAGAGAAATGGAGACATGGAGACAGAAACAGCAATTTTCCAACTGCTGCTTCACTCCCCAGATGGCTGCAAAGCCTGGAACTGGACCAGACCAAATCCAGGTGCCTGGAATTCCATCACAGTCTATCATGTGAGTGGTAGGGGCCCAAGTACTTGGACTATCTCCTGCTGCTTTCCAAGGCTCATTAGCAGGGGGCTAGAATCAGAAGCAGAGCAATCAGGACTTGAACCAGCACTCCAATATGGAATGCCTGCATTGCAGGTTGTGGCTTAACACAATGCACCACAACATGAGCATCTGACATGCTTCTTCATACCTCCCCTAACTAGTGTAGTGAACTATGCTGAATTGGTTTTTCTGGTAGTGTTCTTTACGAAAATCCAGCTGCAATTTGGCTAATGCATTAAGTTGAGAGTCTTAGTTTGCAAAAATGGAGTCAAAAGTGACATAGCTATTTCTATAAGATTATTTAAGATTTTTATAAAATAAACCTAATGGTGTTCTAATTTAATATTTTTCCAGTTTTTCAATTGACCAAATTTTTACCTATGAATAACCAGTCATGAGGGCTACCCTCTGTAAGCCCTATGAGCCTCATATTTACTGAGGAGAAAACATGGCTCAGATACATCAAAGGTATTGCACAAAGGAAGAAAGCTAATGCCAGAGTCAAAATGGTAACTTAACACATTCCAAAACCTCCACAGAGAAATTATCTTCAAAGTGGGTTAGAAAATAGGAATTGCTATCATGATTGTTGTATACTATTGATATTATTATTCCTCATGTTGATTTAGCTTCATTCCTTCTGAGTGATAATGCATGTTCCAAGGACTTAATGATAATAAACTATAAAATATTTTCTGCTTCCCAATGTTTTGAGACGGTAAATACAAAATCTGCTTGAGGGGTTAGATGTTGTTTTCATTTTTTTCCTTTGTGGGAGGTCTGCTGTGTTTCCCAAGACCACCACCATCGTGGAATTAGAACAGTGGTTGATCGTGCAATAGGGAATTAAGAACTTCTGTTTGACATTCAAAACTACAGCTGAGCTAGCCAAGCCCAGGTCAATACATGCAAGTGCAACCACTCACACATACACACACACACACACACTTTCACACTCCTGCATGAAGACATTAGTCTCCAGCCTCAAATCCACCCACTCAATCGCTTCATCTAGTGTTCCTCTTGCCTTTCTAGAGCTTCAGTTTCCACCCATAGATATTCAGAGATTTAGGCTTGAAGGTCTAATTTCCCAGGGACAGGCTTACAGAAAGAATTCTAGATCCAGGGACCCAATTTTTTCAAAAGCTGCCTGAGAGTAGGGTCAGGACAGTTATATTTCTCAATATGGTCTCTTATTTTATTTTTTTAAAGATTTTATTTATTTATTTAGAGATAGAGTTACAGACAGAGAGAGGGAGAGACAGAGAGAACAATCTTCCATCCACTGGTTCACTCCCCAAATGGTTGCAACAGCTGGAGCTGCACCCATCTGAAGCCAGGAGCCAGGAGCTTCTTCTGGTCTCCTATGCAGGTACAGGGGCCCGAGCACTTGGGACATTTCTACTGCTTTCCCAGGCCATAGCAGAGAGCTAGACTGGAAGAGGAGTAGCCAGGACTAGAACTGGCACCCATATGGATGCTGGCACCGCAGGCAGAGGATTAGCATACTGTGCCACTGCGCCAGACCCTGGTCTCTTATTTTGAAAATGCATCTACTCTAGCATCAGCTTCTAACTCTCTGTTCTGCAGCTTCCTGTATTCAGTAAGAACAAAAAACAATTCCCCCACCCATAATGATAGGGTTTTATTTGATCATTTACTGTGTGTCAGGCATATTAAGCAAATCAGAGGCAGGTTTGGGATCTGACCACTCTTTGGGCTCTTTCATATTTCAGCCCAAAGTCTATGTGGCTATTTAAAAAGAAATACTACCTATAACTGCCCATAGAACTTTTAAAGTGTGTTATTTTAAAGCAATCCTCTTGGCAAATAATATTTCATAGTTACAAGAGGATATGCCAGATTACTGTGGGAGCTAGCCATATTTCAAGTGAGGGATGACTAACCCAAGACTGATGGGAGGTATTTCTGTTGATTTTAGACAAACTTGAATTGAAAAAAAAAGATGCAGTTGTATTTTCCCTTCCTTTGTTTGCCCCAGTGAACTTTTGTTCCACCAGAAATGTTCTTTCTTTGGAATCTGGCATCTGCTGCTCAAACCACCTCTCATGCTCAAACATGTTTACGAATTTCTCTCAGAAGTTTTGATGTTACCTCTCTGAGGCATTTTATCAAAAGCTTTTCCTAATGTCCAAACCTGAATTCAAGACTACTCTTGCAGCCAGTAGGGCCTCCTTCAGACACAGTAGTATTTGAGGACAATGCAGTCAGCTTATTTTTTTAAAAAAGAGAGATGGAGGTACTGGTACTGAAACAATCTCAAAGAAGCAGTCTGGTTCTCATTCCTGGGACACTCCTTAAGAAAGCTGAAGCCTGAATCAACATAACCTCATCCTAGTTTCAGCAATTCATCTGGGAGCTAGGTTGTCCTGAAAAGTCCCCATAGGAGGGTAAGGGAAAAAAGAAAAGTTAGAAAAGATCAGAGCGAAGAGGAACAGAAGGTAGTATTTGACAAAGAAAGTTAACACAGATTGCATTATACAAAAAGGTGAAAAATGTTGATTACTGTTCAATGACTATTATGTCTTAGGTACTCTGTAAAAAACACTTTAAGGATATGATCTCATTTAATTCTCATTCTATAAAGAAGGCATTATTTGTGGAATTGTGACCCTCAAAAATTCCTGTGTTGAAGTCTTTAACCCCAACACATCTTATTTGGATATAGCATTGCTGCAGAAGTAATTAGTTATGATGACATCAGACTGATGTATGGTGAATCAAATCTAACATGACTTATAAAAAGA